CTATATACATATACACGTATACATACATACATATACATATATGTGTCTATACACACACACACACACACACACACACACACACACACATACACACATACACACATATAGTATTTACCGCTTGATCTAAGTCCCCATCCTCACCTATAGTCACAAGCTTTGGGTAGTGACTGAAAGAATGAGAATGAGGGTGTAAGCGGCAGAAATGAGCTCTCTCCAAAGGGTGGCTGGCATTTCCCTTAGAGATAGGGTGAGGCGTTTGGCCATCTGGGAGCAGGGAGAGATAGATGGATGGATTTCTCCTTTCCTTCTTGGGCTCCTTATTGAATCCAGAATCAAATTTAAAACCCTTTTCCTGACATAAAAGGTCTTAAATAATCAAGCCCATCATATCTTGTTAATACTACTTAGTACCATATCATCCTAATAGAGCAGTTCACTCCTACTTGTGATCCCTATTGTATTTAAACATATAACTGGAAGCAGAGCTGGAGGATGTTATAAATTAAATCAAGTCTAAATTTAACATTGAGCACTATGTAACACTGTACTATTCATTGGATTGTAATTATTTGCATACCATAGTCAAAAAACGGTTTTGGTGTCAGAGAAAGAGGAAGCCAAGTGAATGAAGACATGAAATCATGTAGAACTGAGGAAGGCTGAAACACAATCGGCTAACTGTAGCAGTGATTGCAATGTTGCACTCGTAGTATGGCACTATAGTTGGCAATGCCATTTAAAAAGTGGGGGTTAGCTCAGCTGACGGCAGGACGGGAACACTTTCCAGGATTTATGCATTCAAAACTCACTTATCACAAATCCAAAAGAACAAATCATGAATCCATAAAGCACAAAGCCAGAGGTCAACAACACCAGGAGTATGCTAAAAACTGTAAACATTGCCACTGATGTCACTTGTGTAACTTGTTGATAAGTGGGATGATCAGTGGTGTCAAAATGGTAAATGTCCTGCATTTGTAGCGCTTTACTTAGTCCCTAAGGAACCCAAAGCGCTTTGCACTACATTCAGTCATTCACCCATTCACACACACATTCACAAAAGCTGAAGATAAATCTAGTAGGACTATATTTATCCAAAATGCATAAGAATATCATTAGTATTTTTTAGTAATGCTGTTTCAGTGCTGTGGTTTCACTGGAAACCAGCTTGGAATTTGTCCAAGATATTAGTTACCACTTGATTATTGTTATTGATTATTAATCAAACCAGGCTGAGTGTGGTTAGCAACTCCTTCATGTGAAGGTAGTGAACCTGGGGATTTGTGTCTCCATGATAATGGATGGGATACGATCATTGATTCAGGGGTTTGGGTTGACAGCTGGGGGTAATCAGGCTTCTACCCCATTGAGAATTCATGAGCATAAACTATTAATCCAATTAACCAAGATGTCCAAAACGTGAGACTAGGAAGCTTGACAAATAGGTGGTGTAACAGGTGAATGGCTATTTAGGCGCTGTATTATATTATACTATTAATCCAATTAACCAAGATGTCCAAAAAAGTAGGTGTGGTGATGTGGACGTGAGAAAGGAGAGCTGAAAACCTGGCTGTCAGGTGTTCATTAAAAATGTCAGACTAAATGGTTTTCTTCTGGGAAGAAAATACTGGCTGTATCAAAAATTACACGTTTGTGGTCAGACCAAACTCCCTTCATATGAATCAGACATTTGCAGGGAGTTTATAGACTGGCCAAGATTAAAACCCAGATAAAACCTAGATGCACTTAGTTAAATGACTTGGCATTATCAAGTAATTCTGTGACAGTACAGTTAGAAGGATCGCCAGTGTGTAAAGAACACTACCAAAATGATGTTGAATTTAACAGCAAAGAGCAGATTGAATTTATTACATGATTTAGGTAGAGTCATCATGTGCTAGAATTTAAGGTTCAATATCAATACCCAGGAAAATACCATCAATACCACAGCGAAGATCTCATCCTCCAACAGCTGAATATGAGACTGGAAGCTTGACATATAGATGGTATAACAGGTAAATGGTTAATTTGCAGTAAATGTAAGAAAACAGCTGTATGGAGTGTGAACTGAAAGATTTCTGGAGCATCATTCTATACATACATGTCTTGCAAGAGTAAGGTTATTTCAGTGGGCCTCATTTACTAACAGTGCATACACATAAATCTGTAATTTATCAATATTTTACTAATTTAGGATTACATTTATAATTCCTTCTTATGAACAAATGACAAAAATGACTGACCATCACTTGCAGTATAATTCCTTGGAAACTTTGGCAGTGGGTTTCTCACCTGAGGCTGACAGCTCCTTGTCCTCCAACTGTTTTCTTCTTATTTCTTGTAATCTGACTTTTTTTTTTTTCACATCAGACTTTCTGATTCCAGGCTTTTAAAATGTTCGTCACTCCGTGGAAACTCTTTGGAAAGTTGAGCCTCAACAGTCAGACTTCCTCCTTATTTCCTGTGGTGGAGCTGCAGGCTGGAGATATTGTATAATGTTTATTTATATAGCAAAATGGGGGCGGGTCAGCATGCAGATAGTATGCAAGTTAGCAATAGGAGACTGCCTTGTGCAGGGTGGTGAGGACATAGTATGCTGGCATGTTTCAGAAATCCAGTGGTAATTTTTCATGCAAACTTTTTTTTCTTTTCCACGCAGAGCACAGGCGAGTTTAGAGCCTTTGGGCGATGTGCGCAATCACCATCAATCTTATTTGCCAACTCGTCTACTGCATACAGGAGAGAGTGAAAACTGTCCGTGTTGTTGCTCATGATGTTACAGTCTCTCACATAGAAGCTGGTTTGTCATTAGTCACCTAAATGACAGTTTCCTGGGTGCAGCAGAATGGAGATGCTGAGAAACAACTGAAAAACAGCAAAAGTTCAAACTTGTCTGGGGACGTTGTCTGCCTGCACACAGCCTACACATGACAGCCTGTCCTGTTACTACAGTAATTCATTATTATTATTAGGTTGTTGTAAAAGTCCCTAAAAAGCTGCACTAAGAGTACTTAAAGGGACTTGAAAGAGCATATTTCTCCTTTTCTTCTTTGGCTCCCTATTAAATCTAGAATCAAATTTAATATCTGTCTCCTCACATGCAAGATTTTTAATAATCAAGCCCCATTTTATTTTAAATTCCACTTAGAAACTATATCACCCTATCGTATTTAAACATATAACTGCAAACAGAGCCATCAACTGCAAATTATATGTAAATTCAGGACCTAGAGGATTTTAAAAACAAAAATAAAACCAAGTCTGAATTTAACATCGTGCACTATGTAAAACACATCAGCAAATTTGTGTTTAGACTAACACTGCACTATTCATTGCTGTGAGGTTTCTTTGCATGCTATAGTTGTGTGCAAACAAAGGTTTTGGTGTCAGTCAACTACTTGACTCCCTGGTGTAACTCTCAAATGCACTCCTAAAAGTACATAGCATGTAATCTGGAGCTGAAATGGTGTCTCAATAATTTAGAAGATCATCATTTAGCTTGGAAAGCCAGATTGCTGATCTATATAAACGCCCTCTGTAAAACTACAAGAGCAGAGGGGGGCTCTGTATTTACATGCATGAACGCTGGTGCAACAACAGGACAATTATAAACAGTCACTGCTCCCTGAATCTTGAGTACATGTCAGTAAGATGCCGGCCTATTTTTCTACCAAGAGAGTTAACAGTAGGGATCATCATGGCTGTGCACATTCCACCCAACGCCAAAGTAAACTGGACTCCAACCTGCTGCTGACCTTGTACCACTTGTTAACTACCATAAAAGTAGTTAACAAGCATAACGGATAAAAATGTACCAACGCACACCAAATATTAACTAGGTGGAAAAGCAAGATTAAATAAATAAGTCTTCAGCCGTGATTTAAACAGTGGCATAGAGTCAGACGCCCGGATAGATTGTTCCATAAGACTGGGGCAGCTACAGCAAACGCACGGT